GAAACCCCAGGGCCAGTGCTCTGTGCTTAAACACAGTTCCTTGAAAGAAGCTGTGATGATGATGATGATGATGATGATGATAATGGTAATAGTGATGATTAAAGTGATGGTGATGATGATAATAATGACCATGAAGGGCATGATGATGATGATGATCACAGCTGGAAATCACTTTCTTAAAATAGAAAATTCCCCACATTGGCTGAAGCAATTTGTACACATGCCAGTAGTGTGTGAGATGGTACTTCCTTGATCCTCTCTCCAGCAGTCAATATCAAAATGAAAACAAATAGGAACAACAAACACACATGTACTTATTGTCCTACAATTCACAATCTTATTTCATTGGCGCCACAGTCACGAAGGAGCCATCATCGCTACCAGCTTCACAGGAAGACAAGAGAGGCTCACAGACAGGCTATCACTTGCATGAGGCCACGCAGGAGAGTGTGGATTCCAAGTGCAGATGTTGTGGGAGGGGCCACACAAGAAGCACCAGGTGAAGAGAAAGGAACCTGCAGAATCCAGACAGGGTCCTGGGGTGGCATTCTCAGCATGCACCCTCTGGGCTGGATGTAAATATTACTTCATTGATTTAGTTACTCAACCACTGTTACCAGAGTCTCTGCACTTAGAACTCAAGGCACAGAGCACCTCACACCAGGGAATGCAGGTGTGACCAAGAAGACATGTGCAATACAGTGTAGGAACAAGCATGAGACAGAGTGGAATTATGAACAGAATCTCTTCATGTGGACATAGCGTTGGGTCATTGAGATGGGGAATAAGAGCAGCCAAACAGGAGAGGACAATGCAAGGGCCCCCTGGGGACCTTCTCTCACTGTACCAGGCCTGAAACACCAACACGCCTAGTACCACCAGGATCAATCCAGAAAGGCCCATGGCAATGAGATTCTCCACTGTGTAGTCTGGGACCTGGGGTCCTGGGGACAATTTGAGAAAGTGGTCATGGAGGATAGGGCGGTTCACACTCAAATCAGCACTCAGAACAGATGTTTAGCCCTCCCCCCCAACCCCCCCATCCATGGAACTTTCTAGTCCCCAAGGTAAACATGTGTGGTTACTTACCACTTGTGGAATTTGGGGTCTGCCCTGATGGGATGATATTAACAGGATCCCCTGAGAATCAGAAAATCAGAGAGTGAATAGCTGAAAGCCTTTCAGCCCATCATGGATTCAGAATCTACCTTATTATACCTCCCTACTCACAAACATGTTGTATCTATATTCACGATGATGCCTTGTACAACTATAGTTGAGGGGGCAACCCTAGTGTCTCTGATTTCCTCTCACTTAGACTTAGCTTTTGGGTCTTTAAAAAAAAGGGGGGGTAGGATTTGGCCACACTCTATGCCACAAGCTTAGAGTGAACATGTTCAAAAACTGTTGAAATTTAGCTTTTTCTTGGTCTCTTATCTGTCTGGAGCAACAACCCAAGCTAAACTAGATCGCCTGAATATTGGAGTTCATCCTTTGATGAAGGTCCTGGGTCCATGGATGAGAGGTGGGTGTCCAGGGGTTCCTGAGGGTCAGAAATAAACAGGAGTGGAAACCTGAGGCTGTACTAGCGTTTGCCCAACCTCAGCCACTTCACCTTACTCCTGGGTCTGCAGTGATTTTCTTTTGTTATTTCATGCATTCATTCATTCTCCAAATAGTCATGGACTTTGTAGAAATAGATTTATGTATGGATGTATAGACATATATGTGTGCCATGTATATTACATATGCATTTACATGTGATATATTATACATTTATATATAAATATGTAAATAATATGTGTATAATGTACATATATGCATACAATATATAGTGCATGCATTATGTAAAAATATATAAATGCAAGGAGATGTGTATAAAAACATATACATGCGTGTGTGTGCACATACCTACCTACATGTGTCTTGGTAAAAATGATAAAGTATAATTAATAATATTAATTAAAATATGCAGCAGATAAGTTAGATCTGTAAGGAGAAAAGTATACAATACAGTTAGGATTGCTTAAACACTTAAAAATTATGAAAGGTGTTATAAGGACAGGGTCTATCTGAATAGGGTCACCAGCCAAGGTTTTATCTGAAGAAAAGATTTTAAATCACAACCTGAAGGGTAAAAAGGAGTGAGCCATAGGAAGAAACTGAATATTTATCACATAGTAAGTGGCCATGTCCTCTGCCTAAGCTATTTCATTCTAAAAATTTAACCTCGACGTAAGGGGTAGTTGTTTCCACCTACATCTGTGCTTTCGGTATGTATGGGGATATTCACTGAAGGGTGGTTTGAAATATAAAATGGTTGGAAACAAACAAAATACCAAATTTTAGGGTGTTGGATAAGGTGATAGCTTCAAACACAGGAGCACTATGCATCCATTAAAAAGTCTACAGTGGATTCATACCAGATCATTCTTTAGAATGCATTAATTCATTTTTTAAATGTAGACCAGTTTATGTCCTGGCTGGTGTTCTCCAGTGGTTGGAGAATTGGTCCACACACCGAACAGTTGGGGGTTCAATTCCCGGCTCTGGTTAGGGTGTATTCAGTAGGCAACCAATCTATGTGTCTCTCTCACATCAATGTGTGTCTCTCTCCTCCTCCTTCCCTTCCATTCTCCCTAAAAATCAAACCCGTCTGGGCTGACAGAGCGGACAGCGTGTCCTGAGGGAGTAAGGCTGGGAGAGACACGTCCACGGTGTTAGTGCAAACTCCTTCCTCGTTCCCCCTTCCCTGGACCTCAGCAGAGATGCCACCTGGGGCCTCCACTCAAGGGTATTCCATTCTCCTTCTGTTCCCACTGTTCTAAGATCTTCCCATCCCTCATCCCATCCCCCCTTCTTGTCTGTGCTCACCGCCCTCCATTGCCAACAAGATGCCAAGTCTGCGTGTGAGCTGGGGATGGGCACCTTACCTGTCACCTGGATGTCCACGGGGTCACTGGGGGTTGACCACTCAGAGGAGAGGTTGTATCCACCGTAGCATATGTACCGGCCCCTGTGGGAGCCACTCACGGGGCCCAGGGAGAAGTTCGCCTGAGAGAGCCCAGCCTGGGGCTGCCGGCCACGTTGCTGGTGGAGGTCATGCTCCCCCATTTTGAAGAGAGCGAATCTGTCATAGTTGACATCAGATTGACATCGTAGGGTCAGGGTGTCTCCAGGGGCCACCACGGGGCCTGGCAGGACTGAGAGGGATGGTTTCCTAGAATCACCTGGCAAAAAAGGTGGTCGTGTTTGTAAGAGGGTTAGGCTCTCTGCACTCCCCTCTGTCCTGGGCCTCTCCATGGCAGAGTCTTCTGTGCCACCACCAGCTCCTGGAACCTGAGACCAGACTCCTCCTACCTGTCTGGAGACCCAGGGGATGCTGGGGGCAATGTCAAGACTTTCTCACCCGAGATCAGAAGCTCCACGAGGCCGCTCGAGGAAGACCACACCTGAGGAGAACCTGAGAAGACGCCGTAGCACCTGTATGTCCACCAGTGAGTTGGTCTCATGGGGCCCACGGTAAAGAGGGCCTGGAACCACCCGTCTTCTCGGCGCTGTGAGTCCAGACGTTGGTAGTGGTCATGCCATCCTTCGCCACACAGATAAAACCAGTCAAACCCCTGCCATGAGCCACACTGCAGGGTCACGCTCCCTCCGGAGGTCACGACGGGTCTTGGCAAGGCGGAGAGGGTGGGTGGGTCAAACATTCCTGGGAAAGAACAAGAGGGAACTGTTAAAAGAGGAGAGGGTGCTGCCCTAGCTCATAGGCCTGCAGACTGAAGAGTCCTGGATTTGATGTCTGTCAAGGGCACATGCCTGGGGTGCAGGCTCAATCCCCAGTAGGGGGTGTGCAGGAGGTGGCCGATCAATGATTCTCTCTCATCATTGATGTTTCGATCTCTCTCTCCCTTCCTCTCTGAAATTAAAAAAAAAAAAAAAGTTGGTTTTTTTAAAGAGGAGAAGGTATGTGAGGACATTATACTAAGTGTTATGGGCCAGTGACAGAAGGACAAATGCTACATGATCCCACTGCTATGACACACCGAAAGAGTGAAGCGTGCCCTAGCTGGTTTGGCTCAGTGGATAGAGCATCGGCCTGCGGACTGAAGGGTCCTGAGTTTGATTTTGGTCAAGGGCACATGCCTGGGTTATGGGCTTGATCACCAGTAGGGAGTGTGCAGGCAGCAGCCCATCATGATTCCCTCTCATCATTGATGTTTCTATCTCTCTCCCCCTCTCCCTTCCTCTCTGAAATCAATAAAAATATTTTAAAAACAAAAAACAAAACAGGAGTTCTCCCATGTCATTCCCTTCCTCCTGTCCTTCCCACACAGGCATGTATCTCCTAAATGGCAAGGGACACCCCAAGACTTGCAACCAGGGGAGCAATGGGTGGTGGCAGCTCATCCCAGGCTAACCCCCTGAACCCTGAGGCCCCTTTTCTCTGACTTCCCAGTGAGCCAAGGCAGCCCAGCCTGGGCTCCCCTGTTGCTTCTTCTATGCCCTTCCCTGTTTCACTGTCCTACGTGTGTGATCAATAAATTTTCATTTGCTTTTCTAAAACAGCAAGGGAAGGAGAGGACCAGTGACCCCACATGGTCCACAAGGCTTGGCTGTGGGAAGAGTGGTCCCTCCCGGGCACCACCCCTTCACTTGTGGCTGAGGAAGTGTCTGCTCACCTGTGACCACCAGGTCCAGAGGCTCGCTGGGAGCGGACGAGGCTCTTCGGCTCTCATATGTGCAGTAGTACCTCCCTGCGAGGCCTTGGGTCATGAGTGGGATGGGGAACTCGGCCTTGTCTCTGGGTCCCTGTGGGAACGCACTTCTCCAGGACCCTGGGGCCCACTTCTGGTGCAGGTGGTACCGCTCCGCCTTCCAAGACCCGTGACACCAGATGCTCACGGGCCTCCCTGCAGTGACGACAGTGCTCGGCACCGCCCAGATGGTAGGTTTGGGCAGAGGCTCTAGAAGAGAGTCAGAAGTTGCAGCCCCCTTATGCTCCATGCCTCAGTTTCCCCCCTCCACCAGCGATCAGCCTCCGGGCTCCTCACGCATGTGCCCTGTTCATCAGCTCAGAGTTCCACTCCTCCTTCTATCCCCCAGATGCCCTGGGAGGGGTCCCACATTGCCCCTGGGGAGGAGGCAGGACCTGGGATGCCAGGGGGTGGTCTCACCTCTAGTCCTGTAGACCTTCCGACCCAGACACAGCCCTGGAGGAGAGATCCCGGTAAGACCACCAATTCCTGAGCAGAAGTCCCTTCCAGGTCATGGGATTTTTTTTTTAATCCTCACCCAAGGATATTTTTCCATTGATTTTTAGGGAGAGTGGGAGAGAGAGGGAAAGACAGAGAGAAACATCGATGTGAGAGAAACACATCGATTGGTTGCCTCCTGCAGGAGCCCTCT